GCAGTGAGAGGAGATGGTGCCATTGCACTCCAGCGTGGACAATAAGAGCAAGACTCTGTCTCAAAAAATAAAAAAAAATAAAAAATTCAAAAAAAGGCTGAGTAGTTTCTATTGTGTATACATACTATATTTTAAAAATCCATCCATCTGTTGCTGGACACAAATTGTTTTTATATCTTGGCTATTGTGAATAGTGCTGCAATGAGCATGGTTGTGGAGACATCTTTTCCACATACTGATTCCAATTCCTTTGGATATATACCCAGTGGATTGCTGGATCAGATGGTGAGTCTATTCTTAGTTTTTTGAAGAATCTCCATACTGTTTTCCAAAATGGCTGCATTAATTTACAGTCCCATCAACAGTGCGTAACGGTTCCAGTCGTCTTTTTATAACCGCTGATCTAACAGGTGTGAGGTGGTATTTCATTGTGGTTTTAATTTGCATCTCTCTTTTTAAAAATTTTTATTTTTTGAGACAGAGTCTCACTCTGTTGCCCAGGCTGGAGCACAGTCATGTGATCTCAGCTCACTGCAGCCTCAACCTTCTGGGCTCAGATGATTCTCCCACCTCAGCCTCCCAAGTAGCTGGAACTACAGGTGTGTATCACCATGCCTGGCTAAATTTGTGTGTATTTTTATCAGAGATGGTTTTCACATGTTGTCCAGGCTAGTCTTGAACTCCTGGACTCAAGCAATTTGCTTGCCTGGGCCTCCCAAAGTTCTGGGATTACAGGTGTGAGCCACCACACCTGCATTTCTCTCTCTCTCCCCCTCCTTTTTTTAAATACACTGTTGCTGGCTTGAACTGCAATTCTCTTACAATTAGTGGTGTCAAACATTTTTTCACATGTCTGTTGGTCATCTGCATGTTTTCTTTTAAGAGATGTCTATTCAAGCCCTTAGACCCCATCCCCCACCTTTTTTTTTTTTTTTTGAGATGGAGCCTCACTCTGTTTCCCAGGCTGAAGTGCAGTGCTGCCATCTCAGCTCACTGCAACCTCTGCCTCCTGGGTTCAAGCAATTCTCCTGCCTCAGCCTCCTGATGGGCTGGGATTACAGGCATGTGCCACCATGCACAGCTAAGTTTTGTATATTTAGTAGAGGCAGGCTTTCACCACGTTGTCCAGGCTGGTCTCGAACTCCTGACCTCAAGTGACCCCCTTGCCTTGGCCTCCCAATGTGCTGGGATTATAAGCGTGAACCACCACACCCAGCCATATGCCCATTTTAAAATAGGGATATTTGTTTGCTTGTTATTGAGTAGTTTGAGTTCCTTATACATTTTGGATATTGGCCCCTCATCTGATCTGTAAATTGCAAATATTTTCTTCTAATCTATGGGTCACCTCTTCACTCTATTTAATTTCATTTGTTGGCAGAAGCTTTTTAGTTTGATACAATGTCATTCATCTATTTTTGCTTTTGTTCCTTGTGCTTTTGGGGTCATATCCAAGAAATTGCTGATGTTTTCTTTTAGTACTTCTATAGTTCAGTCTTAACATTTAAATCTTTAATCCATGTTGAGTTGATTCTTGCATAAGGGGTGACATAAGGGTCCATTGTTATCCTTCTGTGTGTGGATATCAGGTTTTCCCAACACCATTTATTAAAGATTGTCTTTCCTCTGCCACTCCCTTTATCTTTTTTGCCAAAAAGAAATGATCTGCTTGGCGTGGTGGCTCATGCTGTAATCCCAGCACATTAGGAAGCCGAGGTGGGCGGATCACTTGAGGTCAGAAATTTGAGACCAGCCTGGTCAACATGGTGACCCCAACTCTACTAAAAACACAAAAATTAGCCGGGCGTGGTGGTGGATGCCTGTAATCCCAGCTACTCGGGAGGCTGAGGCACAAGAATCACTTGAACCTGGGAGGCGGAGGTTGCAGTGAACTGAGTTGGCGCCCCGACATTTCAGTCTGGGAGACAGAGCGAGATTTTGTCTCAAAAAAAAAAAAAAAAAAAAAAAAAAAAAAAGAAAAAAAAAAAAAAAAAAAAAAAAAAAAAAAAAAAAAAAAAAAAAAAAAAAAAAAAAAAAAAAAAAAAAAAAAAAAATAACTTTTTTTTTTTTTTGGCTCCTGGGGGGTCCAACATGTATTACATTCCAAATTATCTTAATGTGGGACAAAGGCTTTGGTGAATTTTTTTGTGGCAAAATAAACATAAAATTCACCATCTTAACCACTTGTAAGTGCATAGTTCTATGGTGTTAAGGACATATCATGTTAGGCAACCGTCACCACAATCCCCCTCCAGAGCTTCATCTTGGAAAACTAAAACTATGTGCTCATTAATTCCCTTCCCAATTGCCCTCCCCACAGCCCCTCACCACCACCATCCGCTCTCTGTCCCTCTGAATCTGACTACTCTAGGCACCTCTTCTAAGTGGAATCATGCAGTATTTGTCTTTTTGTGACTGGCTTATTTCACTAGGCATAATATCCTCCAGGTTTGCTTTGATGAGTTCTTTTACTGATAACATACTCTATGCCAGAGCTGGGCTAAAGGCTTCATACAGATTGTCCCATTTAACAAATCATCAGGTAGGAGCTTGCTCTGTGGCAGTTTAACAGAGGGTGAAACCAAGGCTTAAGGTGGTTAAGTCACTTGTACATGGAGCCGGTACCTGCCTCTCCTGACCTGGAACCCATGGCTGCCCACCTCCTGGCAGCCACACGATGGGACGGCCTTTCAGAGCCCTGCCCACCTGTACTTCATCTTCCTCGGCTCAGTCACCCGGCCAGTGAAGGGGTCTGGTAATGGCAGAGCAAATGAGTTCCAATGTATAATTTGCCTCAAATTGAAGATGTATATACCTGAAAGTGATTTGTGTTTCTTGTATCTTATCAAAAAAACATTTCTACATAAACTCTAGTCACGAAAGTGAATGACTATAGTTGAGGATAACAAAGGCAGATGCATGAAATGTGTTTTGTTTTGTTTTTGAGATGGGATGGGGGTCTCAATCTGTTGCCTGGGCTCGGGTGGTGTGATCATGGCTCATGGCACCCTTGACCTCCTGGGCTCAGGCAATCCTCCTGCCTCAGCCACCGCATCTGGCTAATTTTAAAATTATTATTATTCGTTTTAAGACCGAGTCTCGATGTATCGTCAGGCTGGAGTGCAGTGGCCCAATCTCACCTCACTGCAACTTCCACCTCCCAGGTTCAAGTGATTCTCCTGCCTCAGCCTCGAAAGTAGCTGGGACTACAGGTGCGCACCACCATGCCCAGCTAATTTTTGTATTTTTAGTAGAGATGGGATTTCACCATGTTGGCCAGGATGGTCTCAATCTCTTGACCTCATGATCTACCAGCCTTGGCCTCCCAAACTGCTGGGATTACAGGTGTGAGCCTGGCTGATTATTATTATTTTTTAATAAAGGTGGGGTTTTTCCATGTTGCCCAGGCTGGTCACAAACTCTTGGGCTCAAGCAATCCTCCCATCTCAAAGTGCTGGGATTACAGGCATGAACCGCCGCACTTGGCCACGGGTTGTTTGTTTGTGTGTATGTGGTGTTTTTTGTTTGTTTTGTCTTTTTTTTTTTTTGAGATGGAGTTTCGCTCTGTCTCCCAGACTGTAGTGCAATGGCACCATCTCAGCTCACTGTAACCTCTACCACCCGGGTTCAAGGGATTCTCTTGCCTCAGCCTCCCAAGTAGCTGGGATGACAGGGGCCCACCGCCATGCCTAGCTAATCTTCGTATTTTTAGCAGAGATGTGGTTTTGCCATGTTGGCCAGGCTGGTCTTGAATTGCTGACCTCAGATGATCTACCCTCCTTGGCCTCCCAAAGGGCTGGGATTACAAGATTACAGGTGTGAGCCACTGCACCTGGCCTTCTTTTTTTTTTTTTTTTTAAAAAAAAACAGGATCTTGTTCTGTTACCCAGGTTGCAGTGCAGTGGCACGATCGTTACTCACTGCAAGCTTGAATTCCTGGGTTCAAGCCATCCTTCTGCCTCAGCCTATCGAAATGCTGATATTACAGATGTAAGTCACCATGTCCAGCCTAAAATGTTTTCACTAAAAAATGAAATAAAAAGTTGGATTTTACTTATTTAAGAACTTTCTCTATGTGCTGCTAAAGCAGTCTTTTAACAAAATTATAATAAAGTCAAATATAATCAACAACCAGACATAAGAATCCTATGTCGTGTGGTCACACAAAAATTATGAGGCTACATCAGTATGTAAAGTAGCCTAGAAAGCAGCTTTGTTGATATATAATTCACATAGCATACAATTCATCTATTTGTATTGTACGATTTGATAAGTTAGTTTTTTGCTTGGATGAAAATTGCTTTACTTCCTGACCACCTTACATTTCTTTGATTGATTTGGCTGATGAGACTCAAACAGGAAAGCTTAAGCCCAGAGTTCCTTTGTGACACAGACTGTCAAATTCCACATTAATAATGTATTTGTTTGTTTTTTGTCAATGTTGCTTCTAAATCCATGACTAATTTTGTAACCTTTTGTGTCTTCAAAGTTTCTGGCTGGCATGGTGGCTTATGCCTGTAATCCCAGTACTTTGGGAGGCCAAGGCAGGTGGATCATGAGGTCAGGAGTTCAAAACCAGCCTGACCAACATAGTGAAACCCGGTCTCCACTAAAAATACAAAAATTAGCTGGGCATGGTGGCACATGGCTGTAGTCCCAGCTACTCTCGAGGCGGAGGCAGGAGAATCATCTGAACCCGGGGGGCGGAGGTTCCAGTGAGCCAAGACCTTGCCATTGCGCTCCAGCCTGGGTAACAGAGCGAGACTCTATCTCAAAAACAAAACAAAACAAACCCTAACAACATGAAAAACAGATCTGGCTCTAATGCTGAGAGTGGAATATGGCCCCTGCTGCCTTTGGTTATGGGAATGGTTTGGTTGGAAACGGTGACCATGCGGAGATCTTTGCTCCCTGGATTAGAACCTTAAGCCTGTGCTTGTTCATTACACAAGTATTCTGGATCTGCTTCTCCCACAGGCATTTAAAACACGTGAAGGTGGTGTTGCATAAAAAGCAAGCTCGTGTGTTCAGCAAATATAACCAAGTGAGCAGAGACAGCGTCACTCACTCGCCGAGAGGAGAGCTGGGCGTCCCACTGTCTCCTGTGGAATACAAGCGATGGACATCGAGAAGGTCAACTCCATGGACTTTGGAGAATTCGTGGATGTGTTTGGGAATGTCATTGAGAGATGTCCTCTGATTGCAGCCGCTGTTTGGTCCCAGCGACCCTTCTTGGATTTGGAAGATTTACAGAAGCACTTTTTTGCCTTTATTGATGCCCTTCCACAGTCAGGTAAGGCTTCAGTATCAGACATTCTCTGCAAAGGGATTTAAAATATGCATATTAAAATATTTTTAGATATTGGCCAGGCATGATGGCTCATACCTGTAATCCCAGCACTTTGGGAGGCCAAGAAGGGCAGATCACAAGGTCAGGAGTTCAAGGCCCAGCCTGGCCAATATGGTGAAACCCCATCTCTACTAAAAATACAAAAATTAGCCAAGCGTGGTGGTGCGTGCCTGTAGTCCCAGCTACTCAGGAGACTGAAACAGGAGAATCGCTTGAAGCTGGGAGGTGGAAGTTGTAGTGACCTGAGATTGCACCACTGCACTCCAGCCTGGGT